CATTCACGATCCCCACCTTCTCGTTCGATATAGATATCGATGACAATTTCATCCTTCTTCCCTTCCTTCATCTGGGATTGAGTTGAAGTTGGTGATGACAGTGGCGGCGGTGGTGCGCGCTGTGGAGCTGCTGGTGGTTGACGGTTTACAACTGGCAGCTCATATTGTGATGATTCTGCATATCTATCCCACCATTTTTGCGGACCTTGAATCAACAAAAACATCACAATCAAGGCCAAAAGTTCTAGTAAAGGGTACAAAATATCAGGCATTATTAAGGAAGACGATGGAGAAGAGAGACAAAGCGATTAGAACAGACAGAAAACTGCAATGCAGAACGGTATTAATATATTACTGAGTGTGAGTCCTTGTTATACTCTACCGTCGTTAATGTTCGAATTCCACAGGGAGAAGGAGAAGAAACAAAGATCCAAGGATTTTTGTATTACCTTAATGGGCTACTGTATGCGTGGATATTTGCTCTTTGTTTTTTAATTTTGTATGGGGTCCAAGGATTATAAACCATTGGCTTCGGCCAAACATAGCCACATTTAAAAAAAAAAAAAAAAATAATAATAATAATAAAATCTGATTTTAGGTATTTTGCTAATCGTTGAATTGTTTTAAAAGCTAATTGATAAAAGTTCAGTTCAGAAAAGCTTATTTCTTAAAATAAGTCTTGACTTACTCTTATAATTTCAAATTTTCAAATCCAACCAAACTTGCTATTATGCTCGAGCCCAACTTTAAATTCCAACTTCACTTCAATTATACCATTTTTTTGTTATAAATAGAAAGATGTGAAAGGAGAATAATGTGGCATCGGATTTTTATATATAATTTTGCATCTAATGAAACAACTTATAAGAGCATTTGCAGAGTAATGGTATTTGTAAATCATACTAGCATGCTTCCAATCAAGTTTTGAGTTATAGAACTTACTTGAAATTCCAAAACGAGGTTGAATTACTTGTCTTTAATTTTCTTGATTTCCAAACCGTCTTGTACCAATTTCTTGGTCAAAAATTCAATTAAAAAAGAAGGAATTTGATAGCCACAACCCAAGTACCAATTTTTAGAAATGTAAAATCCACCAAAATCAAGCACCAACCCTTTATGTATTTTTGTATGTGTTCTACCTGAATTTGGTTGATTTCATATCGTTTTTAGTGATATTTTAAGAATCGGACCGAGCATCAACTCAAAAAAGGGAAGGGACAATGGTCAAATAGAGGTCGAACCGGGGTTGAACTAGTAATATAAAATTATAAAAATTTTATATTAGTTATATAACAAAAAGTTAAAATATAAGTTTAAATAAATATACAATAAATCTTTTCCAATTTAATTAGCTCATATACTTATCTGTAATTTGATGAAAATATGTAAAAAAATAATGCTGCTTGGCTAGGGCTATTTATAGAAAAGCAGGTGACAAGATGGTGTGGTAACAATTGATTGAGTGTTGTGTTTTTTATTTTTTAATTTTTCGATCATGTGTTGACAGATGTCCCCTTATTTTTCAAATGTGTTATTGAGCACGACACTATAGCTATGCTGAATTTAAAAATATTAAATTCTTCAATGCTAGTCTTAATTGTTAATTAACAGGGGCAAAAATATATAATAATATAAATTGAAAATGAATGGATAAGGCACACACCTATCATCCACAGTCCTTTTATCTTCTCCATTGTAAGCTTTACTTTTTCCACTGTAAATGAAGTGTGAAAATGACAAAAATCAAGCCTCAATTTCTAGGCCAAGAAGGTGACATCCTGGTTCCATTTTGAAGGTAAATTTTATCTTTACTTCTTATTACTGGAAGTCGAATTGAAATTTAGATCTGAATGTGTGGAAGGGACCTTCCTTTTCTTTCTCTGATGAAAGCAGGTGTGTGACTTGGGAAAACAGTGACCGGGTTGGCCGACTCTAGTTGAACCAGCGGTTAAGTGATTTTGGAGTGGATTCAAGGAAGGCGGTTTTATATGCTTTATGGGGTTGGGACAACTCACATGGATGACCCGTTTTCTTTCCAACATAATCGTGTGTTGGTGTGTGATATAAAATGTCCATCTCACATTATTTTGGACAATGACCATATCACCACTGTGTTTAGTGACAGGAACGACGATCTCTTTCTTATTCGAATCCTTCTATGTGGCTATGGTACGCGAAGTTGGAAAGATTAGCTCAATAAATCAATGTTTCTCTTCGTCTATCCCTAGTTAAAATCAATAGATTTCTTTTTGGGCCTTGTGGTAGGTTATAAATAGATGTGGGCCGGATTTTACTTATGAGGTCCCAAAAATATAGACCATCTGAATGCACGCAGCCAACTCCACCACCACCAGGGGAAGCCATGTGTTGCAAACGGTTTGTCTTAGTAATAGACTTACGTAGACATGAGAGGCCTTGGAATTTGTTGACTACATTGGAGATACAAAAATCGAGGTCAACAACAATTTTAGGAGTAAGCGTGTCTCTGGCATACTTTATGGCATTCTTTACCTCTCTGTATTTTTCACGTATAGCATTGAGAAGTATAACTACTTTATACTCCTCAGGGAGCTTCTCTCCTATATTTGTGATGCCTTGAACTAATTTGTTAAAGACATCCAATTTATCTTCCAACTTTTTTAAAGGGTCAATCATGAAACCAAATAATCTTTCTAACAAGAACAGATTGGTAGCTAAGGTCTTAAAAAGATACATTTCCTCCAATTTTTTCCACAAAAGGACGGTAGAATCTGATTTTCCTTCCTTGCTAAGAACCTGATCAGATAGATGCAAAATGATGGAGGAATAGGCTAACTTATAAACCTCAAACCTCTGATCAGGAGTCATGGTCTTAGGGTAAGTTCCATCTATAGCCTTAGAGACCTCATGCTAAAATAAACCCCCCCATCTTTTGCTTCCCTATAGGAAAGTCCCTCTTTCCATTGAAAGCCCCAAGTTCAAAACTTGAGGTAGTCTTATTATCTAACAAACTGAACACATTCAATGATAAATACAATAGACAAGTTAAGGAAGAAGTTCTATAATACAAGGAAAGTAACTATGATTTTTCTAAATAACAATTGAGTGTATAACAAGTGTGTTTTACTCACGAGTTTTATTCCATTTTTAACTTAATTTTGAGCTAGATCTTGTGAGAAGTGATCATTTTTAAGGCGTTTATTAGTTTTGTTTTGTAGAAGTGGCGAGAGGGTACAAATCATTAAAAGAAAGAAGAAAACAAGGTTGTTGGCATAGATTGAGGAGAAAAGAAGAACGAAAGTGACAAAAGAGTAAAAACCTCAACATTGAGGGAAGCAAAAGTAGTGCCCCAGCTCAACAAATGTAGAGTAGCTGAGGTGATGCGGCACCAAAGGCTGGTTTGACATGGCGCTATACGCCGCAACTAGGTTCCGCTACACCTCATGAAGACGATAGGGATTGCATTTTCAGCCCATTTTAAGCAGAAAAGAAACCTACAGTCAACACAAAAGTGGGAAAGAGTATAAATACAAGTTATTTGCACTTTTAAAGGATTTCCACACATTGAGAGGCACAAGATACAACTTAAGAATTTGAGAGAAAATCAAAAGGGAGAAAAACAATAAATCAATAACTAGGGTTTGAAATCAAGATTGGAGGCAATAAGAGAACTTGTGCAAAATTCATCATTTTTTCTACATCTCAATTCAAAACATGCTGATGTCCTCAATACAAATCTTGAGTTTTTCTTCTGTTACTATGAGTCACTAAATTTCATATTAGGATAAACAATGTAATCTTTTGAGACCTTTATTTCTTTTATCCAAGATTCAAGTACTTCATTATTTATTTGTTGAATATAAATATGTACACAATGCTTTGAATTACTCAATCACTAATTCAATGATTTATGTACACAATGCTTTGAATTACTCAATCACTAATTCAATGATTTTGTGAATTTACTAAGAAACGAGATGTGAGTTTTAGATTTAGACCACTTTAAAATCCGGTAATCTAGTATAACATTTAGAGATACCTATACTAATTACTGTTGTCTTAAATAAATTCTTAAAACCAATATTTCTTTAACTAAGCTTGATTTGCATATAGATATGGAACTAAATTAGTTAAATAGCTCAGTAAGAACTCAAGAGGGGTAAATTGAATACAAAAAAAGAATTCTTTCAAATACTAAATTATCCTATGAATCTTGAATTAAGATTTAACGAGGATCAATAGGTAAAATTGTTATGCTCTAATATCCATCCAATAGTTGAATCTTCAGCCGACCTTTGAGTGCAATCGAGATAGTTTCAAGTATTTAAAACAAAACAATAGTCACAACTCTTTGCTTGCTTTTGTCAATTAGTAGTTAGAAATATTGAATTAGACATTAAAGTATAGTCATTATGCGAACAGTAATTCAGACTCAAAGATCTACTAAATTACTTGTTACAAGATCATAAACTTGTGATAGAAAAAAAGGCAAAATTTTTTTGGCACCGCTGCTGGAAGCCATTTGCACTTAGAGTCCGTTTGATTGCAAATATGAAATTTGGGTGGAAAGAAAACGAATTTCAAGAAATTGAATTGCCTAAAAATTATGTTAATGGGGATTGTCAATTATTGTGTCTAATTGATATAATTTTCCACGTGGAAAATATTGAAATCAAAGTGTTTTTTTGGTGTTCGTTTAGCTTTGTTTTACATGAACATTGTCAATTAAAGGGATAAAATTCGTCTATCTTTTGTTGTTCATTTGACTTTTTTTTACATGAAAAATTGTCAATTAAAGGAAAGTTTTGTTTTTTGTTTTTTTATACAATTAGGGATAGAATTTGTTTTCAAGTCTAGGCAAAGCTTACATGCCTCTCATTCCCTTTCCTCAAGGGTTTAAGAAGAACATACAAGACACAAATTATGAAAAATTCCTCGATGTTCTCAAGAAGCTCTAGATCAATGTGCCGTTCATTGATGCGATACTACAAATTCCAAGCTACATGAAATTTTTGAAAGAGATGTTGACAAAGAAAAGAAAGCTTCTGGAGTTTGAAACTTTAGTATTAACTGAGGAAAGTAGTGCAAGAGTCCAAAACAAATTGCTTCCTAAATTGAAGGATTCAGGGAGTTTTACTTCAACAATTTCAATTGGAAATTCCTATTTAATTAATGCATTGTGTGATACTAGTGCTAGTATCAATTTAGTGTCGTATTCTGTTTATAGGGAATTGAGACTAGGTAAAGTCAACTCAACAACAATAACGCTAAAACTAACTGATAAAATAATCGCAAGACCACGTAGAAAAGTTGAGGATGTATTCGTAAAAGCAGGAAATTTCATATTTCCTGTGGATTTCATCATATTGGACATACTAGAAGATCGAGATATTTCAGTTATATTGGGTTGGCAATTCTTGGCAATGGAACGAACCCTTATTGACATGGAGAAGGGAAAAATAATCTTGAGGGTGGAGGACAAGCAGGAGAGATTCAATATTTACACTCAATGTGAGAAACCTCCCAATAAAAATGATTGCTCTAGAAGTGATGAAGAAGAGCCACCTGATCAACGAAACTGTCAGAAAGAATACTAAAATTTGGGAAACTTCTTAGTAGAAATGAGAATGGACAAATCAAAATCTGCAGAGCAAAAAAGGGCTGCATAAATGAAAATTATACAAAGTACAATGATGGAATAACTTGGTCTAAGCCACCATGATAAATCAGTGGCACAAGTCAAGCTACTGACTTAAAAGAAGCGTTTTTTGGAAGACAACTCGAGCTTTATTTTATTTTTTGTGTTTTCAAAGTTCTAGGATAGTTTAATTTATAGTTTATTCAGGAATCATCACCCATACCCCTTCTACCCATAAATCTTTGAGTAATTAAATTGGTTATTAGATGTTTGAGCTAAGTAACCATTGTTCTATGAGTTTAATTTTTCAAATTTGATTTTTCAAGAACATGATGCCACGGAACACTGAAACCAACATAGACATGGAGAAAATGGGACAAATCTCAAGTTTGGAGGAGAATGTAGAAGAAGAGTCGATCAAATACCACACAAAGGCACCACAACATCATAGGCAATACTGTCATTTCAAGGAAGCCCTCCTCCTTTTCCTTTAAATTTAATAGTGAAGACAATGTTTAGTTTAAATATGGGGGAATGCATTATTAATTGCCTACTTAAATTTTTGTGTGAGAGTTGGACAGTTTGGCTTACAATTACGTTTTACTTTGAGATTTGATTCTGATTTATGAACTGTGGATATGATACATGCTATATTGATTGACGATTAACCTTGCAAAACTTGATATTATACGTGTACTAGAATTGAATCTGACACTGTGATGAAACAAGTTGATTCATTTGTTAAATAGGTTGATTTAATTGGACATAGATGTTTTACCTAAACCATATTAAATTATCTATCCTTAGACAAAATTTATCTAAGTTTGGAGATGATTTTACAGTTGTAGGAAGATGCGGATATGAATGTGGATTCCATGTGTGAGACTAACATGATAAAACTCTGCGAAAGTCTTAAGTTTGAGGTCGGTTTGTTTAAATAATTGTGTGATAAGGGGCATTGCACTAATCAATGTATATACATTTAAAAATTTTAAATTTCTCTCTAAAGCCTTTATGACTCGAGTGATTAAGTCTGCAAGGGTATTTTAAAACCTAGTACCCTAAAGTCGTCTAACTTGGGAGTCATCTACCTAAAACTCGCTATAGGGGTCATTTAGAAAACTTAATGGAGATGAAGTTGCACTTGAAAAAAATTTTTCTTCGAAGCCTTTTTGACTCGGGTCAGTAAGCCTATAAAGGTGTTTAAAATCTAGTGCCCTAAAATCATTTGGCTTGGGAGTCATCGGCCTAAAACCTGCTACAGGGGTCATCCAGAAAGCTTAATGGAAAGAATGACAAAAAAAAAAAAATTATATATATATATATATAAAGGCACTAAATATCTTGGTTAAAGCCCCAACATTTATTTAAGGGAATTTCACCTCCGATGAAGGATATTAACCTAGTTGATTTTTGGAGGTCAAAACAATCGAATAATTGGAGAATCCCTGTTCATTGAAGTATTGACTTGCAACTAGTGATGTCCACCTGAACTAGAGAGGTAAGGATAGTAAGGAATAAGTCAACATTAGATCACACGTTGGGAAAAGAGTGAAATGGAATAAGTTTGGGGGTCTGTGAATCTTACAAGTGAGAAAGGACATATATGACCATTAGGGGTTGGGAATTGGAACAACTGGTGAATTTATTATTGTCTACTTAATTCTTCACACATACACACATGTCGATTTTGCATTGGCGGAGTAGATGTTGGTTTGGTATTGAGACTTGAAGCATATTTGTGGAATAAACGTCAAAATTTCGAATCTTGAAGTAAAAAGCTTTATTGTCCAACCAATTATCTTTTGCATACTTGTGTGTTCGTAGTTATTTAGATGATAGTTTTGTTTGAGGACAAATAAATATTTTAGTTTGGGGGTATTTGATAAGTGTATTTTATATATTTATTCAGTGTTTTAAAATGATGATATTTAGTTGTTTCTCGGATGAATTATGATCTAAATGATTGTATTTCATGTTGAATAGGTAAAATTCAATGACAATATAAGAAATTGAAGAAAATAAGCAAAAGTTGACAAAATTAGAGAAAATGACTAAGTTGTAAGAGATCCAAAGTTTAGGGACTAAAGTGAAAATACTCAAAAAGTTGTGTCAGACCAAATGATAAAGATTCAAGAATGCTTTGAATCAATTGGATAAAGAAAGATGTCAAAGGGATGAAATATAATCAAAGCATGATCACACATCAAGTTTCAACCTAAAAAAAAGTTATGCATCAATTTCAGCCTCGTATTGAGACCCATTTATAATTACATGTGTGAATTTTAATTATGTTCTCAATGCTATGAATTTTCTAGTCAATTATTCAATGATTTCGTGAACAATAATTGCATAAAGATGCGAATTCTTGTTTAGACCACATACTAAAATCCGGTAAATTAATATAACGTGTAGAGATACCTATAATAATTGCTGCGGTTATAAATGAATTCTTAGAACTATTAGTGCATTTAACTAAGTTTAATTCGCATAGAGATATGGAATTTAAATAGTTAAATAGGCTCAATGAGAATTTGAGAGGGCCAAATTGAATACAATAGAAGAATTTGACACTAATATGTGAAATTGTTCCATCCTAACATTCATTAATTATTTAAATTTTCAATCACTTTTGTTGCATTCACATTTTAAGTAGTTAGATTTAAAATCACAATCAATCAATGCTTTTTGTTTATTTTCATCAAATAGAAGTTAGAAATAATAAATTGAGTGTTAAAGTATAGTCCTCGAGGGAATGATAATCCGAGCTCAAAAGGTCCACTTAATTACTTATTATGATCCGTACACTTGCGGATAAAATTGACAACACATGGCGCGGATGCCGTACACACTAGGCATTGCAGCTCCAATGGGTGGTTTGACGAGGCGTGGCAGCGCCGGCTAAAAATGGTAAGGATCGCATTTTCAACCCATTCTAAGTCCACAAGAAACCTATAGTTCACACAAATGAGAATTCAAGAGAAAATCAGAAGGAAGAAAAACAAAAAAATCAGGAACTATTGAAATCAAGAAGAGAACTTTGTACAGGATTCTTTTCTACATCCCAATTCAAAACCTAGTGATGTACACAATGCAAATCTTTAATTTTTTTTCCATTATTATATGCAGTTAAGTTTCATATCAGACCAAATAATGTAATCTTTTGAGATCCTTTATTCTTTTATTTGAGATTCACATTCTTTCATTATTATGTGTTGATTTTAATTATGCACTTAATGCTTTGAATTAATCACTAATTCAATGATTTTGCGAATTTATTACGAATTGAGAGGTGAGTTTTAGATTTAGACTACATATTAAAATTTAGTATTCTAGTATAACATGTAGAGATACCTATACTAATTACAACGATCTTAGATGAATTCTTAGAACTAATATTTCGTTTAACAAAGCTTAAAGACTAGTTCCTATAGAGATTCCCCTTGGTCTAATTCCACGCCTTATGACGAAAGTGGAGTCAGCGTGGCGTAAAGTGAAGATTGGGGCTTACCTACTTTCTAAGAAGGACAGACAGGAGGGCATTGCTTCCCTGGCTTGCTTACCTGGAATGGAAGACTGAAGCGCTAAGAGCTTTCTTGTTGCCTTGCTTGCGTTTCATATAGAGATATGTAATTTAATTCGTCAAATAGGCTTGATGAGAACTCGAGAGAGGTAAATCGAATACAATAGAAAGATTCGGTTGAAAGGTTGTGAATCTTGAATTATGATTTAAAGGGGATCAATAAGAAAAATTGTTAAACTCTAATGTCCATCCTATAGTTGACTCTTCAACCGACCTTTCTGTGGAGTCGAGCTAATTTCAAGTATTCAAAACAAAATAACAATCACAACTCTTTGTTTGCTTTTGTCAAATAGTAGTTAGAAATATTAAATTAGGCATTAAAGTATAGTTCTCGTGGGAACGATAACCCGGACTCAAAGTCCACTATATTACTTGTTTCGATATCGTACACTCACGAGAGAAAAAAAAGCAGCAATGCACAATATAACATTTATATGAACTGAAGTATACACAAAGTACATATTACACTTAGACAACGTACATATATCAAAAGTTATATGTAAGTGAAGAAGTGCTAGTGAATGTTTATTAAATAGAAGACACATGAGTTATTCAAAAATCAATTGCCCAGATCTATCAGGATTCCATGAGAATCAAATTTTGAGGTCCAATTAGAGTTATATGTAGAGGTTTTAGTACAAGGAAAAAAAGAACTCACACAATACAGAGTTATAACGCTAGTTACAGAACGACCAAGATGTTATGATTGAGATTATATCAAAAAATCAACTAAGTAACTTGAATCATAGCAAGTATATTGTTGTTTATTCCAAAATTGAAGAAACACTCAATATTAAAACATGCAAATCGAAAATTATTTCACAAAAAAGTCAAGAAGTAGGGAGATTTTTGAAACAAATTATTCACCAATAAGTCACAGATCTATTTCAAATTTACTAGATTTAGTGTTTTCAACCCTCAATATTCTTGAAATTCAATGTAAATACGCAAGAATGGAGGGTTCGATCTTCCCAGAATTGCCAACAAATGGCTTTGATAAAACTGTTATGCTACATATCGAACCAAATATACAGTAAACTCAAGAATATGACAAGAATTAGAAGAAAATAGATGTCCCTTTATTGCTTTCTAAATACACTTCCAAGGCATCAAAGATGAAGAAATTACACCGAGCTGAGACTTGAAAGAATAGTACCCATCCGTATGGCCCAAAAAACCCCTAACCTGAATCCTACATCAATCCTTTATTAATTAAGGGAAGCCACAAGGATTACTCACATAATCACTACAAAAAATAACCGATTTCGCAACAAAAAAATGTTGCTGCAAAAATTGAGATTTTGTTGCAAAAGTAATTTAGTGACGACAATATGTTTGTTGTGGGTATGTCGCTATATATAAGTCACAAAATGTGT